AAAAAAAAAAAAAAAGAGATACATACACCAAACACACACAGTTTGAATGTTTAAAAAATAACTTTTAGCTGTCCACTGGTGGTTCATACCTTTAGTCCTAGCTACTTGGTAGTCTGAGAGCTGAGGTTTGAAGCCAGCCCAGCTTGGAAGGTCTATGAGAGTCTTATCTCCAATTAACGACCAAAAAGCCAGAAGTGGAGCTGTGGCTCAAGTGATAGAATGCTACCCTTGAGGGAAAAAAAAGCTCAGGGACAGTGCCAAAGCCCTGAGTTCAAGCCCCAGGACTAGTACTAGATAAATAAATAAATTTTAATGTTGTTTATTTCCATGATACTTCGGTAATTCTAAGTGTTCTAGCCTGTCAAACCCAGTTTTCATTATTCATATGAAACTGGTTTTCAGAAATTTCATAATTTTAGCTCTGACTAAATAAGTTTTTCAAAGACATGCTTTGTTTTATCTTTTTCAATAAAATTTAACAATTTAATCGTGGAGTTGGTTTTTGGGGTATTTTTGTTTGTTTTTTGTCAGTCATGGAGCTTGAACTCAGGGCCTTGACTGCTGTCCCTAAGAGCTCTTTGTGCTCAAGCCTAGCTACTCTACCACGTAGGCTACAGTGCTACTTCTAGTTTTCTGGTGGTTAATAAAAAAGTCTCAGGGACTTTCCTGCTGGGGCTGGCTTCATCAAACTGTGCTCCTCAGATCTAAGCCTCTTGAGTACCTAGGATTATAGGTGTGAGCCACCAGCGCCTGGCTAATCATGAAGCATTATAGATACTTTTGTATGCCTGTGAGGCTAAGAATTAAGGAGAATTGAACTTATCACCAAAAGTCTAGTTAGACTCACAAAAGTATTTTTTTATTGCTTCAATAGCTCATATAAGTGGTTTTCTGTTCAATTTTTTTCTGTCAAAATGGATCTTTTGAAAAAAGTAAAAGAAAACAGGCTGATTTTATATATATACATATATTATTTTTTGGCCAGTCCTGCAGCTTGATCTCAGGGCCTAGGCACTGCTCTGTCTTTGAGCCTCTTTGTGCTCAAGGCTAGACTTAAGCCACAGCACCACTTCCGGCTTTTTTTTTTTGGGGGGGGGTCCAGTTATGGGTCTTGAACTCTGGGCCTGGGCACTGTCCCTCAGCTCTTCAGCTCAAGGCTAGCGCTCTACCACTTGAGTCACAGCGCCACTTCTGGCTTTTTTTCTTTTTGCTTATTTGGTGCTGAGGAATCGAACCCAGGGCCTCAGGCATGCAAGGCAAGTGCTCTACCACCGAGCTACCTTCCCAGCCCCGCACGTCCAGCTTTTTTGTATGGTACTGAGGAATTGAACCTAGGGCTTCATGAATGCTAGGCAAGCACTACCACTAAACCAAATTCGCAGTCCTGATACATACTTTTTCTCTTTTTCTTTTTTTTATTTTTAAAAAACATTTTTTTTAATCGGTCGTGGGGCTTGAACTCTGGGCTTGGGCACTATCCCTCAGCTCTTCAGCTCAAGGTGAGCGTTCTACCACTTGAGCCACCATGCCACTTCCGGTTTTCTAGTGGTTTATTGGAGTCTCATGGACTTTCCTTGCTGGGCTGGCTTTGAACCGTGATCCTCAGATCTCAGCCTCCTGAGTAGCTAGGATTATAGGCGTGAGCCACCAGCGCCGGCTTACATACTTTTCTTTCTTTTCTTTTCTTTTTTTCTTTTTTTTGGGGGGGGGGTCGGTCGCGGGGCTTGAACTCTGGCCTGGGTGCTGTCCCTCAGCTCTTTAGCTCAAAGGGAGCATTCTGCCAGCATAGTGGCTTACGCCTGTAATTTTTACCCTAGCTACTCAGGAGGCTGAGATCTGAGAATCTTGGTTCAAAGCCAGCCCAGGCAGGAAAGTCCGTGAAACTTTAATCTCCAATAAACCACCAGAAAACTGGAAGTGGGACTGTGGCTTAAGATAGAGCCCTCTCCTTGAGCTCTAAGAGCAGAGGGACAGCACCTAGGCCTAGAGTTCAAGACCTACAACCTATAAAAGAAAGGAAAACAAAACAAAAATAAAAAAGGAGCACTCTTGTCACTTGAGCCACAGCACCACTTCTAGTTTTCTGGTGCTTAATCAGAAATAGAGTCTCCCGGACTTTCCTGCCAGGGCTGGCTTTGAACTGTGATCCTCAGATCTCAGTTTTCTGAGTAGCTAGGATTACAGGTATGAGCCACTGGCATCTGGCCCTGATTTTTTTTTTTTTAGTGAGAATTAAAATTTTTTCCCAAACTAATAAAAAGAATGCTAAGCTAGATGTAGTGGCTTGGGCCGGTAGAAGCTTCTCACAAGGTTGAGGCAAGAGGTCAAGTTAAGGGACAGCTAACATACCAGTATCCCCTTTCAAGGGGAAAAATGACTGTGTGGCTTGTGTTTTGCTTAAAGTCCTTTATAGCAGGCAAGTTGTAAAGTGTGAGAACTTGAAGGTGTGATGAAATGAGGTCGCATTTTTTAGCCTATCATTATCAACCAAGTGGCAGAAAGGGATGGAACTCAGTACAACTCTTCTGGAAGACAGTCATACTGTGTAACAATGCTTATGACCATAGAGTTGAAAGAATTACCTCCCCCAATGCAAGTAGTTATTTAGATTAGGGGGATCTCAAAGTGAGTATTTTCTAAAATTTCAACATTTCATGTTATTTATACATATAAGGGAAATATTTTACTTTTCTAGTAGTTTAATATTAGGAAAGAATTCTAAGTACAGAATACTCCACAGCTTTACTTGTAGTAGTAAAAATCGAAACTAGTTAAATGTCTAAATTAGAAGGTGCCAAAGTAAATGGTGATCTTTTAAGGGAAATAGGTGTAAGAAGTTGCGTGGAAACAGTTTACATTAGGATAGGAAAAGCAGGAAGCAAATTTGTTTGTATCATATGTGATTTCAGCTAATTATGTTCATGAAGATTCAAAATGCTAGAAAACCTTATAGTTGCTGGGCGCCAGTGGCTCACGCCTGTAATCTTAGCTACGCAGGAGGATGAGATCTGAGGATCTCGGTTCAAAACCAGTGGGGCAAGAAAAGCTGTGAAACTGTAATCTCCAGTAAACCACCAGAAAACCGAAAGTGGCCCTATGGCTCAAATGGTAGAGCACTAGCCTTGAGCTAGAACAGCTGAAGAACAGTGCTCAGGCCCAGAGTTCAAGCTCATGACCAATCAAAAAAGGAAAAAAAAAACTTTATAGTTTTCTTTCTTTTTTTTTTTGTCGTGGGGCTTGAACTCTGGGCTTGGGTGCTGTCCTTGTGCTCTTCAGCTCAAGGCGAATGCTCTACCACTTGAGCCACAGCACCACTTCTGGTTTTTTTTTTCTAGTGGCTTATTGGAGATAAGAGTCTCATGAACTTTCCTGCCTGGGCTGGCTTTGAACTGAGATCCTCAGATCTCTGCCTCCAGAGTAGCTAGGATTATAGGCCTGAGCCACAGGCGCCCGACTCCTTATAGTTTTCTTAGTGATTATATACGATTCAATTTTCCTATACTTTTTTCCAACTTTTATTTAGTTATTACGTATTGCTAACTTTTGCAAAAGTGGTGTTTTCCTAATGTGAGGTAAAACTAATGTTTTCTTCAACTGCCACTTGATAAGGTTATGTTTGAAGATTTAGAGGAAGAGGGGCTGATAATATTTTTTTTAAGTTCTTTTTTTGTTCTGGCTTAAACTCTTGGGCCTCTGGGCATTGTCCTTAAGCTCTTTTGCTCAAGGCTAACACTCCACCACAGCACCACTTCCTGTTTCTAGTGGCTAATTCGAGATAAGAGTTTCACAGACTCTCCTTCCTGGGCTGGCTTTGAACTGTGATCCTCAGAACTCAGCCTTCTGAGTAGTTAGGATTACAGGAGTGAGCCACTAGCACCTGGCTTTTTGTTCATATTAAATGAGCATGTTCATATCTTTTCTTAGATCTGAAACTCAGCACCGAGGCTCTGCCCCACACTCTGAAAGCGATCTCCCAGAACAGGAAGAAGAGATTCTGGGGTCCGATGATGATGAGCAAGAAGATCCCAATGATTATTGCAAAGGTAAGTTTGTAAGAGATATATACATATCTGTATAGTTGTAGTTTCTCATTTGGATATTTGTCCTGTCTGCTAAACTTTTTTTTTTTTTTTTGAGGCACTGGGATTAATTAAGAATGATATATAGGGCTAGAAAGATGGCTTGGTGGTGGAGTGCTTGCCTTGCATGCAGGAGGCCCTGGATTTGATTCCTTAGCACCACATAAGCAGAAAAAGCTGGAAGTGGTGCTGTGGCTCAAGTGGTAGAGCACTAGCCTTGAGCTGAAGAGTTAAGGGACAGTGCCCAGGCCCAGAGTTCAGGCCCCACAACTGACCCCCCCCAAAAAAAAAGAATGATATATAAGCATTCTGCTGCTGAGCTACACCCAAGCACTATTTTTTAAAATTATTTGTCTCTCTAAAAATGATAGTATATATGGATCTTAGCAAATTTCAAAAGAAGTAACTGTTGTTATATCTTACATATAGGCTTTGTTTGTTTGCTATTATTGGAGTTTGAACTCAGGGCCTCATACTTACTTGGCTTCCTTTCTGTACTAGCACTCTACTACTTGTGCAATGCTTTTTACCCAGGCTGACTTCCAGCTGCGCTCCTCTGATTAGCTAGAATTATAGATGTGAGCCACTAGCACCTAGCTTGTTTTATTCTGGTTTGTTTGTTTTGGTTGGCTGGGTTTTCTTGTTTGTTTTGAGATGCCATCTTTCTATGTGGCCTACTGGCCTCATACTCATCTTCCTGGAATTTTATCACCATACCTGGTTGGAAATCAAAGAAAACTTCAATACTTTTTTTCTCATGAGATATTTGATGAGATAAATTATAAACTAATTAAAGGTAGTTAGACCTTTTAGCAGGTTACCATCTTTTGTTTCCTGCTGAGACTTTTAGATCTTTGGAGCAGAAACTTAGAATGAAATCTATTGAACTATGTAGAACAAGAACTTGGTCCTTTTTTTGTGGGGGGGAGGGGATCCGGTCGTGGGGCCTGAACTCTGGGCCTGGGTGCTGTCCCTCAGTTCAAGGCTAGCACTCTACCACTTGAGCCACAGTACCACTTCTGGCTTTTTTTCTTTTTGCTTATGTGGTGCTGGGGAATCGAACCCAGGGCCTCATGCATGCAAGGCAAGTGCTCTACCACTGAGCCACCTTCCCAGCCCCCATTTGGTCCTTATTTTTCAACAGAGACAATTTTAAATACCTTGATTTTCTATTTTCAGCTAAATAGAATTCATCATTCTCTTTCCTTAAACATGAGACCATAAGTAGATTTCTGTTTAGATAAATCTTTTGTTTTTTTTTAATGGGAAAAATATTGTGATGCATAACCTTATTTCTAATTGAGGAGGAGGTGATTTTATGGATTGTAATTATTATTGATTTGCTTAATTTAAAATCTAAGATTAATTTTATACCATGAACTCATTAATACTACGTGCCTTAATTTGACTGGTAAAAAGTATATAGATGAGACGTAAGATAACTTTCCTTAACTGTTTAAGTGACTGTTTCTTTTGGTTCTTTTGATTATATTCTGCCAATTGTTTCTTTTAGGAGGTTATCATCTTGTGAAAATTGGAGATCTATTCAATGGGAGATACCATGTGATCCGAAAGTTGGGTTGGGGGCACTTTTCAACAGTGTGGTTATCATGGGATATTCAGTAAGTTCTTTTGCCCTGCAAATATATAGGATACTTTCTGATTTGGTTGGGGGTGGGGGTGTCTCCTTATCAATTCCTGTTTTTCAGTTTTACCTGGGATTCAGGGAGATACTCAGAAGATGTATTTTAATCTTAGAGAAAAATTTTGATAACTGAAAACAAGTAATCTTCCTATAATTGATACCTAGTCAGTTAGTGCCATGAATAAGTACACATGATTCTATAGGAGTAGCTTATGTCTAGCTACAGGAAATGTGACTTGGTGTTTGTATTTGTTCTTTTTTTTTTTTTTTTCCAGTTGTGGGCCTTGAACTCTGGGCCTGAGCGCTGTCCCTCAGCTCTTCAGCTCAAGGCTAGCCCTCTCTCACTTGAGCTACAGCGCCACTTCCGGTTTTCTGGTGGTTTATTGGAGATAAGAGTTTCACGGAGTTTCCTGCCCTAGGCTGGCTTTGAACCATGCTCCTCAGATCTAAGCCTCTTGAGTACCTAGGATTA